CAAAGGGATCTTGTAGCACCTTTGAGACTAATTGAAAGAAAGAAGCTGTAACATGAGGTTTCATAGACTTGAACCTACCATATATACTGGACTATAAGTCGACCTCATATATAAGTCAAGGGCAAGTTTTGAGGCCAAGATTATGGATTTTGATATGACCTGCGGATAAGTCGTGTATTTATGTGCATGTAACAAAGGATCTAAAGGATGATGCAAAGGAAAACAATGCCAAAGAACTTACAAAATTGCAGCAGGCATCACTGTTTATGCTTACACTAAAGGCTGGATGGATGGGAGAATAGAAGAAGGGAGTCAGTGCTTCCTAGACAAATTACACTCTTGCCTTTCAGCAAGGGATGCTTCCTTTTTCTGTATAAGAGTTAAAGTACAGGACTTATATTGGCCTGGGATCAGCTGACTCAGAATTTTTGGGTCAATTTTTCGACTAAAATTTCTATACTTATATATGAGTATATACACTCATCCCAGATTTGGAGTCTGCAGTCTTGCTCCTTCGCGGATGGCAAGTGAGGAGGGATAAAATGGCACATGCACTGACTCTAGAAAGGCAATTCTTACCTATTCAAAAGGTAAGCACACACCCATTTTAACCAATGGGCTTTACAGGTTTTCCAGTTCATGGGGGTGGTGGTCCGGAATGGATCCCCCTCAAATCGGGAGGGACAACTGTACAATACTTCCTCAAATCCATGGAGTGGGCAGTATATCACTATTTAGAAGCCAGGCATAAAGATGACAGGCTTCCCATGATTGTCTCTAGCATCTGGTATTCAAAAGACACACCACCTTTGTGCAGTAAGGATCTTGTTTGTTCTCACAGGTAACCAGAGCATAAGAAAATTATTTTTGGACTACTTTTTTTTTTTATATTAGCTATGCTGGTGGGAATTCTTGGAAGTAAATTTGAAAAAAAATTACTTTTCCAAGCCTTGTGGCCAGTAGGGATCAGTTCCTGGCTGTGGTTCCACAAGCATTCCCACAAGACTGCCTTTTAAACCCCATGTATTTAACATATTTATTAAATTGTTTTTATTCCTATCATTATGTACTCCCCCCCAAAAAAACCCAAACCCAATCCCCTCACAATAGAAAAACAAACCATTATTTTACAGTTAGGTTATTCAAAAGCTATTTTAAAAAAGTAATGTTGATGACCAAGCAGTGCTTGTCTTTGACTGACTTGTTCTGTAATTTAATGGCCAGTAGACAACCTTAGTTGTAGCATGAATGCCTAGTTTAGGCAGCAAGGAGCTTTGGCTCTTGAAATTTTTTAAACTATGGGGGGTTGCAGACTGCCAGAAATAGTGCAAATTG